CCTCCCCATAGTTAGGGATAGAACAATACTTCGAATTGACACACTGGGGCAAGAAACAAGAGGATATCCACCACTCAGAAGCAGCAGAGGCAGCAGGAGAGGGACACTGAGAAGCGAGGAAAGCTCCGACATGACATCGAGCTTGGATCCCAACCTCGTCGAGAATAGCGAAATCAACAACTTTGCTTCTGTTCTCTTCGGTAGGGGACGGCTCCTGAAAAGCGCTCGGGATTGTGATTTCCAGCTCACATAGCGATATATGAGCATCGGTAGTGACAAGAACCCATGCAATCGACGGCGTGTACTGCGACACATGAAAGATAGGAGCGTCGGGATTCCGAACGAAAGGCCGGCCTTCGTGGAGCTGGTCGCTCTCCGGCCTGGCTGCCGAAAGGCTGGGTCTAAATGCGTTACGTATACCGCCATCGCCTTCCGGGGAAATGCCGGAGTCGTGATACCTTTTGCTCCCAACTTGGAACCGCTGCAAAAGCTGACCTCCCCGGACTCGCAGTCAGACTGGTCAAACTGACGCTGGAGATCTGGGTCGTACTCACAGGCAGTCTCAGCCGCAACCTCTGCTTCGGCTGCAACCAGTGTGTCACGAAATGCACTGGAACAAACATCGTCGAACAACGGAGCACCGTGATCGACGCAATGCTGATCGGCCCCACTCCTTACCCTTTTGCAAAGAATAGAATGTCCGCGCTCGCTTGTTAGATTCATCAAGTTTCGCGAACCCTTGACCAAATGAATAAACAAGGTGCACACGCTCACGTTGTCGCGCGCGCAGGCCTGCATCCTTCAAAAAACATGGGTTTCGTGAAGATGTAAAGCACCTGTTTCGCAACCCGAATGTTCAAACAAACCTGCCTTCGTGCTCTTGCGATTTTTCCAGAAAGCAATGTTTCCCGTATTTGTTCGTCAACTTCGACCATACGGGCCTCTCGCGTGCGCGTGTCGACATCATTGAGACGCCCGTGCGCGCGTGCTGTCGCAATAATCCCTTGCCAAACATGGCGCGACATGCACGCTCGCGCGTCGTCACGCGCGCATGCCGGCATCCATCAAGAACCATCGGCGTCGTAAGTGTGTCAGAATCGGGTGCCCCGAACGCATATAAAATCACAAACGCGGATATGCACCATCAGTATTCAAACAAGGTCTGCGCGCGCAATTCTGCGAAGTAGCAAGGGAACAATCGGTTTTGAACATTCACCAACTTCGCCCAAACGGGCTTCTCGCTCCGCATGTCGAAACCATTCGAAAGCCCTTGCGCGCGTGCTGCGGGGGCGCGGTCCTTGTCAAATGATGCCACGCGGGCACCTCGCGCGCGTCGGCCGCGAGGGCATGTCGAACTCCTTCCAAAACCTTCATCGCCGACGCGGGGACACCGTCATCGTCATCGGCATGATCACCATCGGCGCCGTCATTGCCCTTGCCGCCGTCATCGTCATCATCGTCACCACCATCGCAACTATCAACATCGTGTCTACCGTTGTCGACGTCGTCATGATACCGCGCCCGCCCAAGTCACCGACTCGCACTGAAGTGCCCGCTATGAAGTGCCAGGCGGTCAACGCCACCGCGGCCGCGTCGGTCGCGCCGATCAAACTGGCCGCTGTGCGCGCGAGCATGCACGGCCGCGGAGATGCACCAGCCAGCGCCAAGCAGTCATCGCAATCGCGGCCGCATGGGTTTTGAAAAGCAAATTGCGGGTGAGTGAGTGGGATGATTGCGCGAGCAGTGGAGTTGACAAATCCAATTTTTTTTCCAAACTAAATGGCGCCACGTAAATTGCTCCACGTAAATTGCCGAACATCTCCGCCACCATGCCGCTTGGCACGGAATGGGCGCGTCCTCGGGTCCTCTGCCGAATCCCTTAAACACTCCTAGTCGTCAAGGGGGCCGGGCCCCAAATTCTCAAATCGATCGGGACTTCCCGCGTGCCCTCTGGGCCCCGCCGCAACTTGTCGCATGATTTGTTCGGGCCCAGGCGGGCTCCGACGGGCCCCGAGTCGCCGAAAGAGCGTTCCAAGACGCCCAAGATGGCCTCAAGATGGCTCAAGAGACCTCCGGAGGCAAACGTCATTGATGTTCCTTCGGCTTTCAAAAGATGTTTGGCGCTTTCGCCTTTTCGGTTTTCCGGCGCTCCAAGACGGCCCAAAGGGCGCCCCCAAAACTACCCCAAAACGGCCCAAGTGGCCTCCAGGAGGCCCCCAAAACATACTAGGAGCGCCCCAAGGCGACCCAAGAGGCGCCCAAGGCAGCCCAGGAGGGCCCCAAGACGGCCCCAAGACGGCTCCGAAAGGGGCCCAAGAGACGGAACGCCAACCGAAGATCTGAGCCCTTCGCCCCAAGAGGCCCTCAGGAGGCCCCAAGAGGCGCCCGGGAGGCCCCGAGAGGCGCCCAAGAAGCCCCTAAGGTGCCCAAGGGAAGCCCCAAGAGGCCCCACAACGGCCCCCAAGAGGCCTCCAAATTGCCTCCAAGAGGCCCTCGAGAGGCCTCCCACGATATCCCAACGAACATATAATAGGCTTCATACCAACAGCCCAGGCGCGGTGGCGGGATGGGCAAAAGGCCTTCAGATACTGTACCACCTATGTTGCACAACCTAGATCGCACGGCATATAACATAGACGACGCAATATAGATCGCACCACATAGGCAGCATCACATCGATTGCACCGCAGATCTTGCGCATAATTTATTGCATCACGCGTATTGCTTCACATATATTGCGCAATATCGACTGCTAGAAATCCACGTTTTGGGGTCCACGCTGGCTAGCAAACGACAGAGCGCTTCCGTTGGCGGGAACAGTTGGGCATTGCTGGTGTCAGAGCCGCTTCGCATCATTGGCCTGCACAGCGGGCAAATCGAGACTGTGAGCGTTCAAAGCGCACGCGTGATGTTGAGAACGAGGCGAGGAGATGAAGGGAGCGGCCGCGCGGCCGGGCGAGACTTCGCGCAAGCTGCGCGCGGCCTTCAAAGCAGCAGGGGGAGGCTGATGTTCTTCGTGGCCTGTTGCCAATGAAGCCACGACGCTGGCGGAGGGCGAGAGCTCGGACATGTGGGCGGGGTAGTGATGGGGTATCGAGTTGACAAGCTGCGGCAAGCGGGCGCGATCTCCTCGAACCTCGTCTGGATAGGATCAAGAACCGTCGGCGCAGATACTCGGGCAGCATGCGGATCTAGGCAGAACGCCGTTTGGTACTTCGACGCAATAAGCTGCGGGCATTCCAACGCATGACCTGAGACCACAGGCAGCGTCAAGCTCGCAGGGCTCCCAAGGAGCCCAATGAGTGCTAGGAGTGCCAAACTTGCTGGGAGCTGTCGAAGGCGGCGGCGTGGGGCCCCTGCTCGATATCGGCCTGGTCGAGTCCGAGCTCGGCGACCAGACCGAGATCCCACTGGGGCTTCGAGGGTTCGTCCAGAGACAGGGGGGGGGGGATGACCTTGCAGCACGAGGCCGCGTCGCAAGTGGCATGGTGCTGAACCCGACGGCAGCGCCATGTCCTCCGCAAGAACCTCTCAGAGAGCACGCGGTGGAGCTTCGTCACCTGGACTTCGCCAAGGACCAACTTCGGATTCTTATCCGTGGAGACGTGCTTTGGGGCAGTGAGGGTGTCGGTGGTGGTGCAAGACGACGAGCGCCATCCGTTTACCATGCGCAGATGCCCGACCGAATCGGGAGCCCGAGCGCAGGCCTGGAGCATAAAGCCCAGCGCTCAGAGAGAGAACCTTCGAGCAGACGCGTCGCCAATGACCTCGACCTGGTTCGGCATCACTTGGGCGTACAGGGCTGCGCGAGGCCGCTGGAGAAGACGTGGGGGTCGAATCAGCGGTCCCAGTTGGCCATATCATCGACGCTGATGGGTAGTTGAGGTTCTGCGTGTGCCAATGTGTTCTGCATATCCCGACTGCTGGACCACATCTGCTGCTTATTCTCCTCGGCAGCATCCTGGCGTAGACGCAACTCATGCACTTCACGAGCTTGAGCGTCGCTGCGACGTGATGCGCAGGCTTACTCAACAAGGACTTGTTGCTGCACGCTGTTCGAAGCCGCCGTAAACTGCGTAGAAGCCGCCGCAGCTGCTGCAGCGCTGACGGCCTCCTGGATGGACTTCCTGTGATCCGCCAGCGACGCCTTGATACGATATTCCATCGCAGCCATCTCTGGGTTAACACGCCAAGGGTCACGAAGTTGCAGGGGTTCCTCATCATAACCACCGGGTCTGGGCGCCCCAACGACGGGAGAACGAGGAACATAGCCAGCGTGAGACTGGGCCGCACCAGTGCCATCGAAGTGACTGGGAGCGACGCCTGAACGTGGAAGAACTGCGTGGACGCGGGAGCGGCTTTGCATTCCATCGCGAACCGAGCATCTTCCTCAGCACGGCGAGGTCGGTCACGATCGCATTCACGAGGAGCGCGCTCGCGAACTTCATCTCGACGAGGAACATCTCGACGGCGATCGAGGCGACGGGGAGCATCGCGACGACCGTGATCGCAATCAGCTGGGCGACGGCGAGAGCGGGCATTGTCACTTCTACTCTTGCTGTCGTCGCCACTTTCGGACATGAGCGGGTCAGGGGCCCAGTGCCATCAGCCTCCAGCCTTCTGCCACCACAAGCCACTTTGGCCGCAACCAGAAGAAGACATCGTGCAACAAATAATGCAATAGTCGGTACTTGTGGCCTAAAACGGTCAGCTACCTGTGGAACTCTTCAAAATGTTCGACCGACGGTCGAATTTGCCGCTGTCGGCGGTGAGTTTTCCTGTGCGAATTTTGGCAGGAACCACGCGTGTCCTCGCCTACCAGCCCACGCGTCCCTCAGGATGCTTGGCCATCTTACTTGCTTGCTTAGTCGAATTTGCGCGATCCTGCGCGGGGCGCTTGAGCCGAAATGGCTTGAGCCAAAATGGAGGGAGGGAGGGAGGGAGGGGAGCGGGGGTAGGGACATCCAGGACGTCCTGGCCAATCTTGGCGGCCCGGGCACCTTGGCAGCAACGCTGGCGCCTGGGCCGCCGCCGCCTGGGGTGGCGCCCGCGCTGGGGGCTCCTCTGGGGCCTCCGCCTGCGGCAACGCGCGATTCTGGAAGCGGAGCAGGACGCAGGAAGGAGGACGCGGATCCTGACCTCTTGCAACAAGAAGATCACAACGACAATGTTTTCGAATCTTTGCGGCTTCCCGGGGTCCCGACCAGGCCCCAGGACTACCAAAAGACGATTCCAGATGAGAAGCAGGTGCCGCGGAGTGGTCCAGACCTCTGGGGTCCATGTTGCGAACAAATCACGACATCGGAGGTCTGGGGAGGAGGAGGGGGAGAAGGAGGAGGACGAGGAGGAGGAGGAGGGGAGCGAGGAGGGTCTGGAATAAACGCAAAATGCACCAACGAGCCGCAATACGTGCGCCCACCCGTCCCAGGTCCCCTCCTAAAAATCCCTGCGAGCATTTTTTACCACAAAAAGCCCCCCCCCCCTCTCGAAAGACGAGAGCCACCCATTCAGGCTGGAGCCCCATTGCGAAAAGGGGGTTGTCTTACATTCTTCGTTCCGTTATAGAAAGGGCGCGAAGTCGCATGATCATAGCATTGAACGATCTATCCAACGAGAGTCCCGTGTTGAGAAGGACCAGTACCCCCGTCCGTGTAATTGTTACGACGTTGGATAAAGACTACAGCGAGAACGACACTTTGAAAAGGAGCCGCCCTCCATCCGTGCAGGTGTACATGCTCAACATTTCGGACGTTACATTTGAGGAAATCTTGAACGATACCCGCATTTTGGAAAGGAGCCGTGCTGCATCTCAGTAACTGTTGCGAACTGTTAAGACGAATGTGCGCGGCGCTAGGGCGCTAGGGCGAGAGCGCCATTTTCAATAGGTGCCCCTCAAACCTTTTAGCTGCTGCGAACTCCTGAGACGAGTGTACCTGGCGCTAGGGCGAAAGCCCCATTCTGAGAACCCCCTTCAATCAGGTGAATTAGCTGCTGCACTGGAAAAAGAAATGTGCAAGGCGCACAGACGAGAGACCCACCCTGAAAACTACCCACCTCCATCCTTGAAGCTGTTGCAAACTTGAACAAAGTGCACGGCGCTAAAGCGAGAGCCACAATTTAGAACATCCCCGTCAGTCCGTAGCTTTGCAATTCTAAGCGTCAGGGACATAAGTGGTGAGGATGTCTGACGCGAACTGCCCAGACATGTCGGGGGGTGCGACGGGGAGGAATGCATCCATACTAAAAAACTGGAAGAGGCAGACACGGAGGGGAGAACGGAGGAGGAGAAGTTCGGAGGGAGGAGGAGGAGGAGGAGGACTAACGCCACAGGGAAACCTTAGGTTGGTCGAACGAACGTAAAAAGGAGGAAGAGGAAGAAGGGGAAGAGGAGGAGGAGGAGGAGGGGAAGGACGAGGACAAGGACGAGGAGGAGGAGAAGCGAGAAGGAGAGAAAAGATTATGAAGGAGACCTCAACAAACGCAAATGCCTATCCCCCTTGCCTGAAACGCGACCCGGCGTCCGACTGAGCAATTTGCGAAACCCTGGTGGGAAGTCGTGCAGTTTCGAGGGACCCATCGATCCGATGTCCTGACTGTTGCAATACGTGGTCCCCGCAAATCTCTACCATTTCCCCATGGTCCGACTTTCGTTCCGAAGCGTCTTTTCATGGTCCTAGGGCCGGGTCAAGGACCCTCGAAACCGAAACCGGCCAAACGCCTTCCGTCGTGATCCTTTCCTGGCGCGAGGATGTGAAGGAACAACGGGACAGGACATCACGTCAAAACATGGTCGGCCTCAAGGGGCTGGGTGGTCAGCGCCACGCGCTCAGAAATTGTCATTGTCGCTCCGGCAGAGTGCACCTTCCAGTTCGCGCCAGGATGTCGCGTCAGCAGCCGCTCTGTGCCAAGCTTAGGGTGAAGCGTCAAATCCTTCCCCACGCAGTGGAGGAGGAATAACGAGGCTTTGGCGATTGCGTGCTGGATTTGAGCAAACGCGCTCTAAAGCGCCAGTGATAGACGCAACGTGCATACAAAGGGTCTGGCCTCTTCCCAGCCGCCCCTCTGGGACCGTCTGCTCGGCAGGTCCCTGTCTTGACAGAGAAAAGGGGAAGGAAGGAGGAGGAGGAGGAAGGAGGAGATGAGGGAGGTCAACGGGAGAGGAGAGAGAGGGAGGAGAAGGGAGGAAGGAGAGGAGGGAGGAGAGGAGGGAGGGAGTAGGAGGTAGAATATGGGAGAGGGAGGAGGGAAGAGAAGAGCAGGGGGGAGTTGTTTTGACATGGTGCGGGCACTGCTGCACATTGCAGTGTGCCCGCTTCTGTGGAGGACGAAGGACGGAACAGGACCGCGATGCCTGAGGCACAGCATCCGACCACGAGGAATTGCCCAAATGCCGCCTCTTTGATGCGCTCGGCGAGTGCTCGCAATCGACCGTTGTCGACCAGCCGCACTTTGCTTGAAACGCTGGGGCCTGGAGGGGCAAGGGCCATCGACTTTGAAAGTGCCTACGACTTTGGCAAGATCCTCGGCATTCTTTCTGTCGTGAGGATGGCGGCCATCACGGATCCTCTTCAGGGCGAGGTCCCCAGCGTCTGGGAGCAAATCTGACATCTGACCGAGCAAGTGGCACATCCGACTTGTGTACGCACCGCATCGGGTGCAACAACTCATATGTTTGCATGTCTTGTTCATGACAATGAAATCCAACTTGTGCTGTCTCACGGGCTCGCCCCCCCTCGAGGCGCCTCAACGCCGTGACACAACAATTCATGGGCTGGGCCTCGCGGTCGAAAGAGATCAGAAAATACTTGCCACACCTGAACATCTTGTCTCCACCAAAGGTCCGCCGACCCCTTTGGGGTTCGTCAGCGTGTGAAATGTTTCCCCCTCCCCAAACCCCTTCCCTGGGAACCCAGTCCGGTCGATTTGGCAGGGTGGGGTCCCCCTGGGACCGCTGGAGCGCGCCACGGGAGGGCAGAGGGCCCAAAACACAGGCCAAGAGGGCACCCAGAAGCCCTCTGGACGGTCCAGGAGGGCCACGCGCCCCCGAAAACTCGATCGAAAACGCCCACGCTGGCCTCCAGACGGCCCAAGAAGCCTCCAAGACGCCCCAAAAAGTCCCCAAGAGGCGTTCCAAGACGGCCTCGTAAATCACACATCCATGGGAAGACCTGCATTCTGAGCACATTCGCGATTTCTGCTATCGCAACGTCCAAGGCAACCTCCTGGGTCGCCCCAAGACGGCCCACGAGGTCCCCAAGAGGGCTCTCAGACGACTCAAGGCGGCCCCAAGACCGCTGAAGAAGCACAGCAACGAAGAACAGAGGCCCTCTGGACGGTCCAGGAAGGCCACGAGCTGCCGAATGATCGATCGGAAACGCCCACGCCGGCGTCCAGACAGCCTAAGAAGCCCCCAAGACGCCCCAAGAAACCCTCAAGAGGCGTCCCAAGACGGCCCATGGTGCGTCGGAGGCATGATTTCTTGTCTTCCGACGCGCGCTTCGCAGAAAAGTACCGTTCCTAGTCTAATCAACGTGGCCTGAAGACAGATCCACGGGCATTCCAGTCTCGTCCCATCAGATCCGTCCAGCCTTGCGCCCGCTTCAACCACCTCCCCGACGAGCTTCTCATGAGCATCACCCCGACCCAGCTTTCCAGTCGAATGTAGCTCCTGCGACGAAAGCCCTCTCGCGGCCTACATGAATCCGATCACTACGCCCACACACAACATCCCACCAGCCCTCTGGGCGTCAGCGGGTTAGGGGAGCTCCTCGTCCAAAACCCCTGATCCGTATTTATAGATACCCGCCCCCCTCAACCGACGGCCGACTCGAAGCAAAGACCCCCCGACCATCTCGGCCATCACAATAATTGCAAGACCATGTACACTGTGCGCCATAACCTGGATCATCTTTGCGCGTCCCGCCCTCACTGTGCATTGGTCTGTCCCACGACGACTAGGGGCATCGCATTGACCCGCGCGTGCAGGCCCGCCGTCCCCCCAGGAGAAAAAAGCACTGCAATGCGCACGTGGCGGCAACATCCCCCGACCCTGTGGGGCGCCCGCAGCGCGTGAGATGCTTACCCCTCCCCCGACCCCTCCACCCAGACCCAAGTCCACTCGATTTGGAGGGAGGGGGGTCTGCCCGGACTCCCAGGGCCCGGCCCCGAGGGCCCCATGAGGCATCATTGATTGACTTTCAATTCGTTTTTGAAAGAAATTAGCGTTCTCGCCTTCTCGGTTTCCCGACGCTCCACGACGGCGCAAGGGGCTCCCAAGATCTCCCCGGACGGCCTAGAGGCCTCCAAGAGGGCCCCTAAACAAACAAAGAGAGCCCTCCCCCACGGCCCCAAAGACGGCCTTAGAGGCCTCCACCATGGCCCAAACGAGCGCCTAGACCGCCGCAAGAAGGGCCCCGAAAAGGAGCCCGAACCTGCATTTCGAGCCCTCGGCCCCCCGAGACCCGTGAGAACCCTCCACGAAGCTCCAAGAGGCCCCCATAAGCCCCCACGAAGCGCCCAAACATGCACAAAAAGCACCCCAAAGGCGCCCAAGAGGTTCTCAAGAGCAACCCGCCGCAACCACCAGTTTCCCAAGGGGTCGGCAAAATGGAGTGAGCCTAAGAATCTCCCGCCCATGCCTGTCGGGTGGGGTTAACACCCTTGCGCATCGTGCGGAAACCTTCATCAAACAGCTCCGCAAGCTGGTCCTCCGTGCATGTGCGACGCTGGTACACGCGGTCCTTCGACAAAACGTGGAAATGCTGCACCTAGCTCGACGCGCGCGGCGAGGTCCAGCGCACCTCTTCCTCTCAGGTACTCCACTTCGCTGCAGAACTGGGCACAGGAGTGGCCCCCGAGACGGCTTTCGAATGATCCATGCGACCCTAGCGCGCCCGAGGACTGCCTGGGGCTCTCCTACAAGTCAGGCAACTCTCATGAAGTCGATGCCTACAAGAAACGCCGAACACCTTCCAAAACGAACCAAACGCCCGCGCTCTCCGCAATCCGGACGTGCACCCCGCGAAGCGAGAGAAATCCGCCGACCCCTTGGGGATCATCGGCGTGTGAGATGCTTCCCCCTCCCCAAACCCCTCCCCCGGGAGCCCGGTCCGGTCGATTTGGAGGGGGGGGGGGGGTCCGGGACGAGCGCTCCACGGGGCTTTTCCTGGCCCAAGAGGGCTTCAAGACGGGCCACGAAGCCCCCAAGAGGCCTCCAAGACGGCCCACGAAGGCTCCGAGAAGCCAAACGACCGCTCCAAGACGCCCACGATGGCCCCAAGACGGGCCAAGAGGTCTCCAAGACGGCCCCTGAGGTCCCAAATGAGCCTCCCAAGAGGGCCCAAAGAGTCAAAAATTGCTGATTTTCCAGAGTGTTTTTCGATGTTTTTTGCTTTTCCGCCTTTCCGGCTTCCCGACGCTCCAAGACGGGCAAAGAGGCCCCAAAGATAGCCCCAAGATGGCCCAAGAGGCCCCCAAGACGGCCTCCAGACGGCCCAAGACGGCCCCAACACGGCCAAAGAGGTCCCCAAGACGGCCCAAGAGGGCTCCAAGACGGCACCACGAGGGGCCCAAGAGGGCGACCAAACATGTTGAAACTCTAGCTTTCTGCCCCCAGGAGCCCCAGGGGGCCCCAAGAGTGCCCCAAGAGGCCCCCAGAGGCCCTCACGAGGCCGCCCAGACGCCCCAAGGAACCCCCAAGAAGCACCCCAGAGGCTCCGAAACGGCCCCCGAGTGGCTCCAAAACTCGCAGTGTCGCTGTCCGCTCGGACCTCCCCGCGGAACTGCCCGAGACCCTCTGGCGGTGGCGGCGAACAGACACCAAACAAATATCACTCGCCTTTTCACCCCTTCGCAGCTTCTACTACCCCCAGATTGGCATAAACAAGGGGTCGGCGGTGTGGCGTAAGCCTAAGAATCTTCCGATCATGGCAGTCGGGTGGGGTTCTGACTCTGGGGCGACAAGCCTGGTGCGTTGGACGCACGGATACGAACTTAAGAAGCAAGGGTAAAACAGTTCCGAACATATTATCACAAGGGATGCGATCCTTTACCAGCTTATCCAGCTCCTCCAGATCAGCGGGCGAAGGCTCAGGGTGGAGGATGAGAGCGTGCTCGGCACGGCGATGCGCATCCTGATTTCCAAGGGCAATGCGCTCCTCGGCAGGGGACAGGGCCTGAATTACCTCGTCGGATCATTGCGCAGGAGTGTTGTACGCTCCACCTGCGGCATCAGAGCCATGGGCTTGCAGTGCTGCTTTATGCGCTCCAGCAAACATCTGCTTAGGCCATAGCTGGTCCAGGTCCGTGGCACTGTGGAGACGGACCGCTCCTTTGCAAACGCTCTAAGGGGTGCTCAAGACAATCGTGAGCGCACAAACAGTTGCTAGCCCGCAGTTCTCAACAATTTGCGGCGGCGGATGTAAACTTGGCCACGTTGGGGCCAACATTCCAGGTCGCACCTTCTTGTCGAATTCTGGCTCCAGTAATACAGCGGCAACCACAACTCGATTCAAATCCTTCATGATGTGCTGTGTGGCCGGTCCGTCGACCACCATACCACACGACTCGCTTTGCTCAGCGAACTCAAACGACAAACTCCTACCTCTGGCATCCTGGAGGAGGGGTCCGTCTCGGTCGAGGGAAGCGGGAACGGGATCCAGATGATATTCAGAGGAGTCGCTCGGTAGAGCTGCCTTGATCACCTCTCTGGGGAGGGCCTCGTCACGAGCCTCGGCAACCCCAGTAGCATCACGCTGCCCTTGTCTGCGGAAAATCGGGTCTGGTCCGCCGCACGTGGGGCACCTGCCATCCGAAATGTATCCTGACTCTGGGAGGCGATCTGCCGTCCAACAGCCCTTCGAACAACTCGTATACTCGTATACATTCAATACTTGGCTCTCGCGGAGACGTTTGCTTCGAGCGGAGGAGAGATCGAAGAGGGTCAACACACGATCACCGACGAAGGGGTGTGTGGTCTCCGCAAGCCATCTCTCGCAGGCTCTCTATATACCCCTGCCCGCAGCAGGCGCTGGAGACGAAGTGCACATCAAATCGACCGTGGTGCCTAGATCATCTAGCCAAAGGCGAAAGCTCAAGGCCTTCCACCAATTCCAGTGCAAACTCAGCAATACTCGATGTCCAGGGCCTCGAGAGATCCGCCATTGGTGGGGCCCCAAATCCTGCTAGTGGTCCTCAAGTTCTCCAAATCCTAGCATGATCTCTAGGCATCGTGAGACTTCTCCAAAATCTGTTGGCTCACTGCCTGGCGGGCGCTGTGACCTGGAACCAGTCAGGGTCACTGTGAATGCATATCTTTGTCGTGAACGAAACTCCACGATATGCTGGTGTGCAATCTACTGGAAATACGCTTCGTAATTCCGCGAGCTCCCTATCGGTCATTCCCAGGATCATGGAACCATGCCCAGCAGCCGGCCTGAGTCCCGAAATATCTATCGAGAGGAAGACGGGGAGGATCAGGAGGAAGCGGAGGATCAGGAGGAAGCGGAGGAGGAGGCCCCGAGTGCAGGAGAAGGGGGGAGGGAGGAGGCAGGGTGGAGGCGAGGAGGAAGGGAGGGGGGGAGCAGGCGGAGCGTCGATAACCCCAGCGCGCGCTTCGGCCGGGGCGACCGCCTCCGCCTCGCCCGGCGGCGGGGCCGTCTCTGGTTCGGCGAAGGCGGCCGGCTCTGGCTCGCCGCGCCCCGCTGCCAGCCGCGCGTCGGCCGCCACCGGCGGCGAGACCGCCTGGCCCGAAGGCCCTCGTCGAGCATCAGCAACGACGACGGCGGCGGAGGCGGCGACGGGCAGCGACGATGACGGCGGCGGCGGCGACGATGGCGACGGCGGCGGCGGCGGCGGCGGTCCCGCCGGCCGGCCGCCGCCGGGCGAGCGGGCGGCCGGCGGCGGGGAGGCCCGGCTCGGAGGATCTTGCCGCGCATCGACGGCCAAGACCTCCAAGGTCTTGCCCAGCCCTGTGCAGCTAAGTGTGGCGCAGGGGGTGGCCGTCTCCTCATATCCTACACGCCGCGTGATGGATGGAATTCGGGCTCCCTTGCGCCACGATCCGCGTGAGGAGCGTGACGAAATGGGCACGGGGGCGCGTGCAGACGCATCCACTGGGGCCGTATGTGGAGCTCTCTGAGGGGACGCGGACCGTGTGAGGTCCGCGCTGTGGACTTTAAACGAGGACTCATGAACAGAGGAGGTTTTAGGAATCAGAACTGGCATTTTGCGCTGTTCTCGGGGTGTGGGAACCGTTTCCGGGCACTACCCGGCAAGAAACGAGTCGGGACGAACAATGGGTCCCTGAGAAATTGTCGAGAGGTCCGGGGGCCCGGTATCGAGCGACGTTCCCGGATCCCCGAAGAATTGAATTTTTCAATTACGTCGCTTCCCCTCGATTTCGCCACGCAAGGGCTGATTTTTGAGCCGCGGGGCCATTCAAACTGGTTCTGGATCGGGAAACTACCCCTGGGGAAGGCGCTGGATATCAGCGGCGACGACGGCAACGGCGGTGGGAGGGGGAAGTGGGGAGAAGATCGCTCCAGATCGACTCGGCAGGAGGGACCGTCGCAAACAACAACACCGTCTGGGGTCTTCTGGAGACTCACAAGTTGGAGATCACGATTCTCAAATTCAAATTTGGCAGAATTCCCCACCGCCTCGCCCAGCGGCTTCAAAAGGGGACCCGCCATCCTTGGCGGAGGTGAAAAAACAGAAAAGTGGGGAGAGATGGGAAGATGGAAGTCGGTCAGGGGCGCCGGAAGAGAAAGCGGGCTGGGGGTGGGAGGGGGCAGCGACTGGAATGGGGGGGGCGAAAAGGGGCAGGGGGAGGTAAGGTATCGAGGAGGCGCGAGGGGAATTGGACGCGGAGGCAGCCGACTCTGGAAAGGTGGCGGCAGTGGATCGGGAGGCATGATGGGGGGCGTTTTTGAACGCTTGCGCAGCACAGCGTCCAGAGAAACAGAGAAAGATAGGTGACACAAAAAGGGAGGAGGATGCTGAAGAAAGACTCATCAATAGGACGTGGAAGCCATGAGATCCGCCCTGTTGGGAGCCTCGGCTGTAACCACCGATCGGTCAGTGTCCCATGTAGCGGTTAAGGCCGCCTCAAGCGGGCCTGCACGGCTGGAAAGTTTACGCTGCGATATTGTGGTCAAGTTGTGTTGCCCCATGTACTAACACTGAACATGTGCGGTCCTCTGTTAAACAAAAGCAAAAAGTAAAATACGGATGCGTAAAAAATGAATCAACACGGGCACGGTCGGTTAACCGATCACCGACCGTGCCGGCAAACTAAACGGCAATGGAAACGGGAGACGATTAAAACAGGCAAGGGCAGATACAAAGCGGTGAGCTACCTTCCGAATCTGGTGCTCAAGCGGGTCTGCTCGTACCTCGCCGGTTCGGGTACGCAAAGCATACCCAAACCAGCCAAATAAAACAAAGCTAAGCTGATGAGACCTTCTACTGACCAGGTCTCAGTACATAGTTTCAAGAGTAGACAGTTACAGTGCAGGGGGTTCTGCTGACCACTCCGTTATGTAAGGCTAGTGAGAGAGCCTTCTGCTGACCAGACTCCTGGTAACAAATTGCACAGCTGAGACCTTCTACGGACCAGATCTCAACATAGGGTTGCAGTGAGGAAAGGATGCTGCACCAGGAGGGCCCTCTACTGACGGCCCCCCCCCCCGCCCCATCTCAAAAACATGCGAGGCGGCAGTTTCTCCTGCTGGAGCACGCAGTCGCTGACTTGCACACTCAACTACCAGACTATTGCCACCCCACCAACACATTTGATGGCGACAACCCTCTCGATGGCATGCTTGGCTCTTTTTGCGCTCTCGCTGGCCGTGTCGCAGTCGCGTAATTACATAGTGCGCGATGTGCGGGCCACTGAATCTTTCTCGCCCTGATGGGCTGCGTCGCATTCGCGAACGCAGTTCGCGATCTGCGCGTCCGTCGTTGCATTCGCGAACATGGTATGGGACATGCGACGCCGCATGGGTTTCCCAATAGCGTCGTCGTCGTCCCTGTTGAAGTCGCTGTGGCGGGAGCTCGGCGTCGTCTTCCGTTGCTGTCCCTCGCTCGACCTCACCGCGGGACGTTCGCGGGCGAGCTCCCCCTCCATGATGTCGAGGATGGGCTCTTCGCCGATGCTGCCCTTCGCGATGGCGGCCCTCATGTCGCGGGTGCCCCCGTCGCAGTATGTCGGATACCTGTTGCGTGCGTAGCTGGTCTGCCAGCCGCCGTGGGTAGCCTGCCATGCTAGTCTCTGATGGCGGCCGCGCATGGCCCATGGCCAAAGAGGGGGGGGCGGGCGCGCCGTCCGCGACCAGCTCGGCCGGCACAGCGTAGCCCCCTTCTTCCTTCAGCCTCCTGATCTCCTCTGCTGAAGCGGGCCCGCGCGCCGTCTCGTGGCGAGCCGGCATTTGCGCCTGTAGACCATCTGCTGCTCCGCGTGCTGCGAGCAACTCCGATCCGAATGATGATCGACGCGCGAGCTTGAGCGATCGGCCCGCGGCGTCGAGCAAGCGGCAGGTCTGCCAACCAGTACCGCGGCACTTGCACGGGCGCATGTATGCGGCACCACGCATGCCGCATCCAATCTCCTCTTCGCGCTGGAACGAGCCGTCGCTGCGCGCGGAGACTCGAGCTGGCACGTCCGCTTCATCGCCAAGAGGGCGATGCGCGCCATGATCTTCTGCGCGGCCAGATCAACGGAATCGAGCTGCATCGAATGCCTGATGGGCAGCGCGTTCTTGGCCCGCTGCGCAGCGCGTCGGCGGCCGTTCTGGCGGGGGAGACAAAGAGGTCTGGTAGTGGACCTCTGGCCAGCTCGTCGGCCTTCGACTTGACTGGGCCGACGTGCCCGATCGGGGTCCGCGCGGCTATGTGTTCGTCCTGGTCGAGCGTCACTGCGCCATCGGCGCCGCGGCCCCAGTGGGCCCCTCAGTTGGTAAGTCGTCGTGCCCCACCTTCCCTTGCTGAAGACGCTCTCAATGTGGCCGGTGGGTCGGTCGGCGTGCTTCTGGCGCCCTGCGATCTGGAGATCGTCGACGCGCTTGGACAGCGCGGGCACTGAGTCCGAGCCGCCGGCGCCGCAAGTGCCGGGCGCCGCATGATTGACCTCGGGCACAGGGTCCCATAGCGTCGGCTTGGTGGCGCACTCGGGCGAGCGCGCGACCCTGAAGAGCTTCGCGGAGAAGCTCTCGGCGCGCCCTTGCAGCCCGCGCCCGGCACGATGCAGCGCAGGCATTCGGTCCGCTCATCAAAGACTCGTAGCCTAGGGCCCACCTGGGGATGGCAGCGCCGCCGGGCGGCAGGGTGAAGTGCACCTCTCGTGGTGCTTCGCCCTGCTGCTGCATCTCAACATAAGTCATGCCCTGCAGGAAAAGGGCGAGACGTTTACGGCGACGCGCGCCCAGTCTGGGCGCCAAACCGCCTCCGCGGACATAATGCGCTGGGGCGGCCGTTTCGCCGCGCAGGCGAACGTCTCCGGGGCTCTGGCGCCCGTGTCGCGGATGCCTCTCCGCGCCGCGCGGCGCCGGAGTGCCCCGGCTGTTCTGCCGCTGGGCCCCTTCCGGCGCTTCCACTTTAACGCGCGTCTGGAGCCCGCGGCGTTCCGAGCGCCATTGAGAGGCAGTCGTTCGAAACATTTGAATATGACCCAGATCGTGGGCTCCTCGAGGATGGCGGCGGCCACCTCCTTGAACGGCCTCGATGCCTCCTCTATAGACTGGACGCCGGCGCTGCTCTTGACTGCCGCGGCCCCGACAGCGGCGCGCAGCTACAGCGCGGGTTCGGCGGGCGCGCCGGCAAACTAATTCTCCTCGTGGCAAAACCGGATTGCCTCTCGCACTCTGGGGTGCAGGCGCAACTCCACGTGTTATCCTCCTTCATCCTCCTCCTCCTCCTCCTCTAGCTTGGCGCTGTCGTGTGATGAGGGGGCGCCGCGCAGGTAGTAGCGGCGCTGCGCGTGGATGCGCTGGCACCAGTGCTGCGTCTCCACGTGCTGGGGCCGCCCGCGTGGCCAGCGGCCCATGATGGCGGTCGCGTGCGCCGGATCCTCGGCGCTCTCGACATCCTGCCAAGCTGCCGACATCACCAGTTGGACGGGGCCGAGGAAGTAGCTGTCGGCCTCTTCTGGTGTCGCCGACAGGGCCGATGGTCAACCGCCCTCGGTGACGCTGGCGGCGTCCTCGGGGACGTCGGCAACGCAGTCATCAACCGTTCCGTCCTGGCCCTGCCCGGCGTCGGCTGCCAGTGGCCGTTCGACACCCGAGACAAACTGGGCGATGCGAGCGCCCCCCCGCTACTCGCCGACGCGGCTGCGGGCGTCGGACTTGACGCCGCCCAAGTGAAACTGGCGAGCGTCGCCTGGAATTCGAGGGGGCCACCAGGCGACCGAGCTGCGGGGGCCGCCTGGCTAGTCGCCCGCAGTTTTCTGGCCGCGCGCAAGACGCGCGGCGCAAGCGCCCAGTAGTTGAAAGAGCACGCGGGACAAATTGCGCAGAGCGTCGAGGACATCAGGGCGTTGCCGAGCCTACTCGGTCAGCTGCTTGCCCTTCTCGCCCTCCCAATGGCCGAAAGTCCTGACTCCTGAGCCTGGCGCGACGTGCTCCACGAAGTCCTCTGCGCGATCCCGGGCCAGGCCTGTTCGCGGCATGCCGGTGCCCACATCGTAGAAGACGGCGCCAATGAAGGTCCGTGCGTCCTGCGCTCTGCAGACCATCTCGGCCTTGCGG